CTTGACAAAGCACAGTGGTCAGTGCAGATTATTTTCAATCCATGTTTTTTTACACTTTTCATTCACTGGTTTAACTCAGGTGATCGTTAATCACAATTATCTCCGGAGATCACATGCAGCCCCTCAACCATCTACACATATCTCTGGAAATCTATGCAGATCTCCTTGAAAAAAAGTCTCCTCTCTTCTTCGGAAAACAATTGTCCCTCCACCTCATAAACAGGGGGACAGAGAAGACTTCTCCTTGATAACTAAAATCAGATTAATTATCTGTGCTTAATAAACATACACCAATACTGCAAATGCATTGTACTGTCGAAGGCATTGCACACTAACGCATTGCACACTAAAAATGTCAAATGTGTTAGTGTGTACAGTGCATGAGTGTAAAATGCTTTAGTGCACACTGCAGTGTACAACGCATTGCACACTGTAATACACGTGTACAATGTAATACCGTGTATACCAACACATTGTAGACTGTAATGCAGACCATAGATGGGTCGAAAAACGGCCGATTTTTCGGCCGAAAATAAAATCGGCCGATTTTCGGATCGTTAGTGGGCTATTTATTTGTTCGGCCGTTTTTCGGCATTTTGGCAGATTTTTTTTATCGGTAAAGTTGGAAAAAAAAATCGTCCGATTTTGCTGATCGGCCAATTTTTGCGGTAATAATGGGCAAATCGGCCGATTTTTTTACCGATAAAAAATCTGCGCATGAGCAGTGACCTGCAAGAGGAAGACAAAAAGAAGAAAAAGAAGAAGAGGAAGAAGAAGAGGATGAAGAAGAGGATGATGATGATGATGATGAAGAAGAAGAGGATGATGATGATAATGAAGAAGAAGAAGAGAATGATGATGATGAAGAAGAAGAGGATGATGATGAAGAAGAAGAAGAAGAAGAATGATGGTGATGAAGAAGAAGAGGATGATGATGATGATGAAGAAGAAGAGGATGATGACGATGAAGGAGAAGAGGATGATGATGATGAAGAAGAAGAAGAAGAAGAAGAGGGATGAGGATGATGATGAAGAAGAGGATGATGATGATGATGATGAAGAAGAAGAGGATGATGATGATGAAGAAAAGAAGAAGAGGATGATGATGAAGAAGAAGAAGAGGAGGTTGATGATGATGAAGAAGAAGAGGATGATGATGAAGAAGAAGAGGATGATGATGATGAAGAAGAAGAAGAATGAAAAATAAGAGGAATTCCAGCCCGGCAAAAAGTGTCCCTGCAGAGAGCTCTGCTATTTCTTTGACAGTTCTTTGACAGTTCCTTGACATTTACAGCGGTTTGCAACATTGTATCTACGTATTTGTTTCCGAATAAAAACATCTGTATCCTAAATGGATCCTAAAAATGTCAAATGTGTTAGTGTGTACAGTGCATGAGTGTAAAATGCTTTAGTGCACACTGCAGTGTACAACGCATTGCACACTGTAATACACTGTACAATGTAATACCGTGTATACCAACACATTGTAGACTGTAATGCAGACCATAGATGGGTCGAAAATCGGCCGATTTTTCGGCCGAAAATAAAATCGGCCGATTTTCGGATCGTTAGTGGGCTATTTGTTCGGCCGTTTTTCGGCATTTTGGCAGATTTTTTTTATCGGTAAAGTTGGAAAAAAAAATCGTCCGATTTTGCTGATCGGCCAATTTTTGCGGTAATAATGGGCAAATCGGCCGATTTTTTTACCGATAAAAAATCTGCGCATGAGCAGTGACCTGCAAGAGGAAGACAAAAAGAAGAAAAAGAAGAAGAGGAAGAAGAAGAGGATGAAGAAGAGGATGATGATGATGATGATGAAGAAGAAGAGGATGATGATGATGATGAAGAAGAAGAAGAGAATGATGATGATGAAGAAGAAGAGGATGATGATGAAGAAGAAGAAGAAGAGAATGATGGTGATGAAGAAGAAGAAGAGGATGATGATGATGAAGAAGAAGAGGATGATGACGATGAAGGAGAAGAGGATGATGATGATGAAGAAGAAGAAGAAGAAGAAGAAGAGGATGAGGATGATGATGAAGAAGAGGATGATGATGATGATGATGATGAAGAAGAAGAGGATGATGATGATGATGATGAAGAAGAAGAAGAGGATGATGATGAAGAAGAAGAAGAGGAGGTTGATGATGATGAAGAAGAAGAGGATGATGATGAAGAAGAAGAGGATGATGATGAAGAAGAAGAAGAATGAAAAATAAGAGGAATTCCAGCCCGGCAAAAAGTGTCCCTGCAGAGAGCTCTGCTATTTCTTTGACAGTTCTTTGACAGTTCCTTGACATTTACAGCGGTTGCAACATTGTATCTACGTATTTGTTTCCGAATAAAAACATCTGTATCCTAAATGGATACAAATAGATACATTGTTGCAACCTTTGTAAATGTCAAGGAACTGTCAAAGAACTGTCAAAGAAATAGCAGAGTTCTCTGCAGGGACACTTTTTGCCGGCTGTAGACGGGATGAAAATTGCTGATTTTTTTTACCATTGCTGGTAACGTCGGCTGCTTGAACGACCGATTTTTTGTTTTTTTAAAAGAAAAATCGGCTGTTTTTCTCCCATCTATGGCCTGCATAATGCACTGTACACTGTCATGCAGGATAGAGCTACGCATTGCACACTGATACCGTGTACACCAACACATTGTAGACTGTAATGCACTGTACACTCTCATGCAGGCTGGAGCTGCGCATTGCACACTGTGATACGCTGTCCACTGTCATGCAGAATCCAGCAACGCATTGCACACTGTAATACCATGTACACCAACACATTGTAGAATGTAATGCATTATACGCAGTATACATGTCCAGATATTCAAAGATTAGCCATGAAGACCTAGCTGGTTACCTATTTGGCAACTGCAGATAGCCGAATAATGCTACACTGCATCCAGGCAGCTCTGGGAGACGTCATATGACATCCTGGCAGAACGCGCTCTCCGTGATTGCTGTGTCCTAAGGACACAGCTGATCACGTGATGTGGTAAAAGGCCAATCACAGCGGCTTTTTACCATGTGATCAGCCATGTCCAATGACACGCTGATCACCGGGAAATGCATTTGCCGGGTCTTGGCTGCACTTTCATCACACTGTCAGAATATGTGGAAAGTACTGCCGAGAACCAGCAGTTATCAGAGCAGGGGTCAGCCCTGATGATCAGTGCCCACCAGTGCCACCCAACAGTTCCGCCCACCTGTGGCCAGCAGTGCCACCCACCAGTGCTGCCTCATCATTGCACATCAGTGTTGTTAAATTACCGGTTTACCAAATGTTATAATATAAAACAGACTTTTATTCATTATGAGCTATTTTGTTGTTTATCGAGCAAAAAGTAAAACACACAGCAGCAAGTCAATACCACCCAAAGAAAGCTCTATTTGTCTGCAAAAAATGATATAAATTTAAGATGGGTACAATGTGGCATGACCACACAATTGTCATTCAAAGGGTAACAGTGCAGAAAGATGAAAATTGGCCAGGACAGGAAGGGGTAGGAGTACCCAGTAGGCAAGTGGTTAACATTAGAGATGAGCTCCTGGTGGTGCCCAGCTATTGTAGTGTGGATTGGAGGGGTCTCTTGGTTTACCAACCCAGACTTTATCCGAGACCCATCTGCCAAAAAGATATTCAGGCCTTGTTCCTTGGTCTGCAATGGAATCGGTTGCTGCGCTGCAAAACCAAGATCGACAAAGCAGGTACAGGCCAGCGAATCAATTATGGATGTCGCTGATACGACTCATCCAGGATAGAGATGAGCGAAGTATTCAAAAATTTGATTCGGCTGATTCGGCGAATTCGAGGAATAAATTCGATGCGATGCGAATATATTCGCTGCGAATTTAACTTATAAAAAGGGTGTTTCTAGGCTTCAGAGAGCCTTTATATTAGTGCAGAACATTGTACCTTTAATTTAAATGTCCTTGTCTGCTGGGGAAGAGAAATATTACTGTCAGTCAGCATGACATGCAGATGAGTGTCGTCGATCTTAGAATCACCGCACACTTCACTCATTTGGGCAGTCACGGGGCCAAAACCAGAGTGTGGAGCCACAGTGTGGCGGTGGAGGCAGCAGCGCAGCAGCAATGGGAGGGCCCGTAATCTGCCAGCACACCCTATGACAAAATGGAACCCACCAGCAGTGTGAGGAGACCTGAAAGTGGCACATGGGCAGAGTGTGGCGATGGAGACAGCAGCAATGGGAGGCCGTACAGGGACCCATGAGAGACTCTGGACCTGGCAGCAGCATGAGGAGGCGGTACGGGGGCCCATGGCAGATTACGAACCTGGCAGCAGCAATGGGAGGGCCCGTAATCTGCCAGCACCCTATGACAAAATGGAACCAACCAGCAGTGTGAGGATACCAGAAAGTGGCACATGGCAGAGTGTGGCGATGAGACAGCAGCAATGGGAGGGCCGTACAGGACTCCATGAAGAGACTCTGGACCTGGCAGCAGCATGAGGAGGCGGTACGGGGGCCCATGGCAAGATTACGGGCCTGGCAGCAGCAATGGGGAGGCCCGTAATCTGCCAGCAACCCCTATGACAAAAATGGAACCCACCAGCAGTGTGAGGAGACCTGAAAGTGGCACACCTCACTGGCAGAGTTTCTGTGGCGATGGAGACAGCAGCAATGGGAGGCCGTAACAGGTACCCATGAGACACTCTGGAACCTGGCAGCAGCATGAGGAGGCAGGTGACGGGGGGCCCATGGCAGATTACGGGCCTGACAGCAGCAATGGGAGGCCCGTAATCTGCCAGCACCCCTATGACAAAATGGAACCCACCAGCAGTGTGAGCAGACCTGAAAGTGGCACATGGCAGAGTGTGGCGTTGGAGACAGCATCAATGGGAGGCCGTACAGGACCCATGAGACACTCTGGACCTTGCAGCAGCATGAGGAGGTGGTACGGAGGGCCCATGGCAGATTACGGGCCTGGCAGCAGCATGGGCAGGCCCGTAATCTGCCAGCACCCTATGACAAAAATGGAACCCACCAGCAGTGTGAGGAGACCTGAAAGTGGCACATGGCAGAGTGTGGCGATTGGAGACAGCAGCAATGGGAGGCTGTACAGGGACCCATGAGACACTCTGGACCTGGCAGCAGCATTGAGGGTGTCGGTACGGGGGCCCATGGCAGATTACGGGAGCTGGCAGCAGCAATGGGAGGCCGTAATCTGCCAGCAACCCTATGACAAAATTGAACCCACCAGCAGTGTGAGGAGACCTGAAAGTGGCACATGGCAGAGGTCTGGCGATGGGGAGGACAGACAGCAAAGGGAGGCGTACAGGGACCCATGAGACACTCTGGGACCTGGCACAGCAGCATGTAGGAGGCGGTACGGGGGCCCATGGCAGATTAACGGGCGCCTGACAGCAGCAATGGGAGGCCCGTAATCCTGCCACGCACCCTATGACAAAAATGGAACACACCAGCATGTGAGGAGACCTGAAAGTGGCACATGGCAGAGTGTGGTGATGGATAGACAGCAGCAATGGAGGCCGTACAGGACCCATGAGACACTCTGGACCTGGCAGCAGCAAAGAGAGGCGGGCGGTTACGGCGGCCCATGGCAGATTACGGGCCGGCAGCAGCAATGGGAGGCCCGTAATCTGCCAGCACCCTATGACAAAATGGAACCCAACCAGCAGTGTGAGGAGACCTGAAAGTGGCACTATGGCAGAGTTTTCTGGCGATGGAGACAGCAGCAATGGGAGCCGTACAGGGACCCATGACGACACACTGGACCTGGCAGTCCAGCATGAGAGGCGGTGGTACGGGGGCCCATGGCAGATTACGGGGCCTGGGGCCAGCAGCAATGGGAGGCCCGTAATCTGCCAAGCACCCTTTGAACAAAATGGAACCCCACCAACACGTGTAAGGTGACCTGAAAGGTGGCACATGGCAGAGTCTGGGGCGATGAAGTCAGCAGCAATGGGAGGTCGTACAGGGACCCATGACACACTCTGGACCTGGCGCGATGCAGCAAGAGACGGCGGTACAGGGGGCCCATGGCAGAGTGGCGAAGCGTAAGCCAGCTTAAATTGAAGGCCATACAGAGGCCTATGTTAAAAATAATATCATGTTTTGGGGGCATGATTCATGGCGCCGAATTTAGTCAGTTTGTGTCAGGAACTGGTGGTTTTAGAAATCCAGACTAATCTACGCCTGATTCATTTTCACAAACGTGAGTCTTCTCCTACACTTTGGGTGGACAGTCCGTGTTCCTCCGCGGAGTTACACAAACCTCCTGCCGCACTAAAACACGCGCTCCGATGCCACGCTACTGGCCAGGCATTGACAGCCCTTTCAAGGGGCAAATTCCAGCTAGTTGGGGTCCAAAGGTCAAGGTTTCGTTGCCCAGTAGTCAAGGGGTGATTGTCTTCCTCGTTATTGGAGCAGGGTGCTGTCCAATTAGGCCACGAGTCAGGGGGCTGTTTTTGAGGTCCTGCTCCAGGTCCACCTGATGCTGCTGCTAGCTGCTGCGGCTGGTTAGTAGTTTCCTCGACTGCGCTGGTGAAGAAAGAGCCCCAACTCATCATCGACTGCAGACTGAGGCAGCCTGTGCTGGTGGAGCTGCCACTGCTCCTAGCCACCACCCACCCCTCCCTGCATGCCATGGCAGCGGAAACGCGAGTGCACAGGGCCCACAGTGTCTGAGTGGATGGACTGTTGGCGCCGAAATGCAGGGAGACCAACCTGACTACATAGGTGGTTTTTATAGTACGTTATTTTTTTGGCCACTACTCTCTCAGCAAGGTGTGAAAAGTGCCCACCATTTTTTGAAACTGGCTAGCGAGGGTCCAACAAGGTGGACAGCCAAATAGTCATCCCTCTGTTCTATGGTTATTATTCGACATAACGTCGCTAACGCAAGCAACCATAGCATTGCTTATGGGACATTTGTTGCCAAGGAATGCGAGGGAACTTCCCTGCCTCCATCTACACAGCATTACTGCAACGGAGTGCGTCTGGTGATCCTCTGCCTCTCCTCCTCCTCCCTCTAGCAGATGCTCCTGCTCCTGCCACTCCTGTACGCTGAGTGGAAAAAACCTACCCATCCATTTCAATCAATTAATTCCTGAGGCACCAATGTCATCCTCTACCTTCCTCCTTCTTCTTCCTTGTCCTGGCCCACACAGGGGTCATGTGGCGTGGAGATCTGTGCGCCACGTCTACCGCCACCCTGACCAGCCATTTGTTAACTGCATTTGTTCCAGGACGTGCATACAGAGGTATGACGTCGTTCATACACCCATAGTCATGCCGACTCAAACACGCATAGCGTTGGCCTCCTCAAAGGGGTCTGAAAAGCATGCTGGCAGGTGTCCATCTCATAGTGCAGGCCAATGGCTGACAACTAAGTTACATAGGGGAAGTACCTTTATCCCCCGCTTGTAACTTCAGCGCAATCTCGGGTGAATGGCCTTTCGCTGTCGGTAAAGGCTGTTCTCTAACACATATGGTAGGGTTTGAATTCAACCTTGTTGCAATTTCAACGTCAACAGCCATGTGGCTAGGCGGTACACGGGGCCCATTGGCAGAATTACGGGCATAGCACAGCAGCAATGGGGATAGGCCCGTAACTCTGCCAGCACCCTATGACAAATGGAATCCCACACCAGGCAGTGTGAGCGAGACCTGAAAGTGGCACATGGCAGAGTCTGGCGATGGTGACTAGCAGCAATGGCGAGGCCGGTTACAAGGGACCCTATGACAAACACTCTGGACCAGGCAAGCAGCATTGAGCGGAGGCGGTACGGTGTGCCCATGGCTGGATTACGGGGCCTGGCAGCAGCAATAGGGAATGCCCCGTAATCTGCCAGCACCCTATGACAAACATCGGGAAACCCACCAACAGGTGTAAGGAGACCTGAGAAAGTGGCAACATGGCAGAGTCTGGCGATGAAGTCAGCACCAATGGGAAGGCGGTACAGGGACCCATGACCACACTGCTGGGACCTGGCCAGACAGCAAAGAGGAGGCGGTATACAGGGGCCCATAGCAGAGTGGCGAGCGGTCGGTAAGCAGCTTAAAAATGGAAGGCCATACATGATGGCTTATGTTAAAAATAATAACATGTTTGGGGCATGGATTCATGGTCGGATATTAGTTCTAGATTGTGTCAGGGAACTGGTGGTTTTGAAATCCAAACTGATTCTACGCACTGAATACATTTTCACAAACGTGAGTCTCTCCACACTTTGGGTGGATCAGTCGTTGCTCCGCCGCGGAGTTTTACAATAACCTCTCCTGCCGCACTAAACACGCAGCTCCGATGCCACGCTAACAGGTCAGGCATGACTAGCCTTTCACATTCAAAGGGAAAATTCATGATAGTTGGGGCCAAAGGTCAAGTTTTCGTTGCCCGGGGTGGGCAGTAGTCAATGGGGATTGTCTATCCTACGGTTGGCAGGGTGCTGTCCCAAGTAGGCTCGTGATCAGTTTGTTTTGAGGTCCTGCTCCATGGTCCCACCTGATGCTGCCTGCTGCTAGCGGCTGGATAGTGAGTTTCCTCACTGCGCTTGGTGAAGAAATGCTTACTCATCATCAGACTGCAGGACTGAGGCAGATGATTGCTGGTGGAAGCATGCCACTAGCTTCTACAACCACTCCACCACTCCCATGTCTGCCCCATGGCAGCGGAGACGCGAGTGCTCAGGGCCCACAGTAGTGTCTGAGGATGGACCGTTGGCGCAGGAAATGGCAGAGACCAACCTGGACTACATAGGTGGTTTTTTATAGTACGTTATTTTTTGGCCACTCTCTCTCATGCAGGTGTGATAAATAGGCCACCAATTTTTGAACGGTAGCGATAGGTCCCAACCAGGTGGGACAGCCAAAAGTTCATCCCTCGGTCTGTAATGGTTATTATTCGGCTCGTCGCTAACGCAAGGCAATACGAGCATGCTATGAGGCCATTTGTGACATGGAATGCGAAGGGACTTCCCTGCCTCCATTCTCCACAGCTTACTGCCACCGGTGCGCTGTGTCCTCTGCATCCTCCTCATCCCTATACCAGATGCCTCGCTGCTCCTCCAGACTACCTGTCCGCTGAGTGGTAAAAACCACCCATTTTCACTCAATAATTCCTGTTGCACACAATGTCCGCTCCTCTACCAACCTACTCTGTCTATCCTGTCCTGCCCCCATCAGGGGATCTTGTGGCGTTGAGATCTGTGCGCCCACGTCTATACCGCACCCTGACCTGCCATTGTTCAACTGCCATTTGATTTCCAGGACGTGCAACCAGAGGAAGGACAAACGTTCATCCCATAGTCCTAGCAGAATCACGACTAGCGTGGGCCTCCTCTCCTAAGGGTTTTCAGGAGTCATGCGGCATGTGTGTCACGCATGAGCTGCCAATGGCTGACATCTAATGATACATAGGGGGGGGAGGTACCTTTATTATATCCGCTGTTGTAACATCAGGAAAATCGGTGATGGCCATTGCGCTAAAGTTCGTAAAGGCGTGTCTAAACAGAGTAGGGTTGAATTCCCACCTGGTTGCAACGTCACAAGCATGAGGAGCGGTACCAGGGGCCCATTCAGATTACGGGGCACTGGCACAGCAATGGGATGCCCGTAAATCCTGCCAGGCACCCTATGACAAAATGGAACACACCAGCAGTGTGAGGAGACCTGAAATTGGCACATTGGCAGAGTGTGGCGATGGAGACAGCAGCAATGGGAGGACCGAACAGGGACCCCATGAAGAGACTCTGGACCTGTCAGCAGAAAGGGGAAAGGCGGTACGGGGGCCCAAGGCAGTTTAAAGGGGGCCTGGCACCCGCTAGGGGTGGGCCCCGTAAATCTCCCCAGCCCCCCCTATGACAAAATGGAACACACCAGCGGGTTGGGGAGCCCTAAAAGTGCCCCTGGGCAGATTGTGGCAAAGGAGACGCAGCAATGGGGGGCCTAAAGGGACCCATGAAAAACCCCGGGCCCCTGGCAGCAGGATGGGGAGGCGGTACAGGGCCCTTTGAAACTTTAAAGGGGCCTGGCCCAAAAAGGGGAGGCCCGAAAATTTTCCAGAACCCTATGACAAAATGGAACCCCACCAAGCATGTGAGGAAAACCTGAGAGGGGCCCCATTGGGCAGTGTGGCGTTTGGAAAAACAGCAGCAATGGGGGGCCGTACGGGGGACCCCATGAGAAAAACCCCTGGCCCTGGCACCCGGTGGGGAGGCGGTACGGGGGCCCCAAATTGGAAACTTTAAAAGGGCCTGGCAGCAGCAATGGGAGGCCCGAAAACTGCCACACCCTATGACAAAAGGGAAACACACCAGCATTTGTGAGGAGACCGGGAAAGTGGCACAGGGCAGAGGGGGGCGAGGGAAAAACCGCAGCAATGGGGGGCCCAACAGGACCCAGGGAGAACCGGGAAACCTGGCAGCACATGAGGAGGCTTACCCAGGGGGGGTGGGGGGGGGGGGGGGGGGGGGGGGGGACTTTAAAGGGGCCCTGGCAGCAGCCAAGGGGAGGCCCGAAAATCTGCCAGCACCCATGACAAAAAGGAACAAAACCAAGCAGGGGGAAGGAAAGACCCAAGAAAGTGGCACAGGGCAATGGGGCAGGGAAAGCCCAGCAGCAATGGGGGGCCGTCCCGGGCCCCAAATGAGAAACTTGGACCTGGCACCCACCCATGAGGAGGCGGTACGGGGGCCCCAGGGAAATTTAAACGGGCCTTTGCAGCAGCAAGGGGAAGGCCCGTAACTGCCAGCACCCAAAGACAACATGACCCACCATCAGTGTGAGGAGAC